GAGGATTTAAAAGCAGTAATCATTGGTTTAGTTATTTTAATATTTTTTACATCACCGTTATTATTAACAATAATAAAATCATGTACAGATCTTTGAGATATAAGACTTTGTTCTTGTAGATTCTCAACTAGGAATTCTTTGTTGAAAAAAAACTGCGTTCTACAGCAGCATTTCCATGAAAAATACTAATATTCGTTTTACAAATTCGACAAAATTCGCAGATATTTTTTGCTCAGCCCACAGTTTCATAAGAAATTCATCTAGCTGATGTTTTTTCTCATTAAACTTTATTAATTCTTTTTTTACAGCGTCATTTTCTATAAATTTAAGGTAATCCTTTTTAATTTCTTCAACAATAAGTTCACCAAAGTGGTTATGCTCAACTAAAACTTCTAAAGCCAGTTGAATCCAAATTTTAGCAATTTTCGGATTCAACATAACATAAGGAGAAAAAGAATTAAATTCATTAAATGTAATTGTAATTAAATAAAATGATTTCGAAAAAATTTTTCAAGGATCATTAGTTCGATTCAAGGAAATTTCAAGTATTTCAAGTAGATTAAATCCATTCAAGGAGTTTTCAAGGTTTTCAAGGGATTCAAGGAGCAGTAGACACTATAATAACTATTTATTCGTATTATATCCTGTGTCCTCGGATGGGGTACCACACTCTTGCTTGCACTTTTTTATTGTTGAGTTTTCAAGAAAAAGTTATTCCTGATAAAAAGTTTTGCTTATCTTGGGAAGCCATGGGCAGTAATCAAATAAGTAATAAAACATACCCTAAGTAAAGTGCCTTTAATTTGTGTTTCGTTAAAAATTGTATTTAACAAAGTTGTTCGAGAACTCGAGAAATGCTTAAATACGGGGTTTATTCAAAAAAGAAGAATAACACAGGTCTGAAAAAAAAGTGGTTGTGTTTGTTCTAGACCAGCTGAATTTCCGAAGTAATTTTTGCGTATAATCCGAATCCGATCTCAGAATTGCTCCATCACGTCACGCTTCCAAGATATCCTAACCTAATAGTGCGAAAAACACAGTTTTTGCTGTATTTGACCTTATCGTGAAAATTTTTTTTTTTCTGAAAACGACTCATGTCATCTAAAAAAGAATTCGTACCCTTCCTTCAAAATGTCGAATAATAACATCTCACTCATATAATACTTGGTGTTAATAAACTTATGTCAAATATTTTTGCCACATGTCCGTTATGTCATAATGAGGTAAACACACGAATTTCTGTTGAGTAAAATGTAATTTTAGAATCTGACTTACCTCAACATTGCAAGGGGCCACCTTTTGAGAACTGCTGATTTTCATAGAAGATGTTCAATGAACCCACCATTTGCTTGCACACAAGCCTCAGCGCGACGTATCCAATTCGCTGGCATGCGTTGCAACATTGCCACGTCCTCGTAATACGCAAGCTTGTAATACGATTCGTGAGGAATTGCAAGAAACAACTACTCTAGAGGCTACATGGCCCCGACTAGATAGAAGATAGATTTTTTCCCTGCAATATCGTCGTTCAAAAATTTGCTTTTGTTCTCATGGGGGCGACACTAGCCATGTTTTCATGGCTATGAGAAACCTGCAATACAGGTCGCTTTTTGGTATCTTTGTAGGTCTTAGGCCTCTTTTACTTGTTATGTACTATTATCTACTATAGTCTCAAAAGTGAATTTTTTTTATACGCGGTCTGATCAAAAAGTAATGTGAATTGTAAATTTTCTCATAAAGTATTTATTTTATCTTAAATTTTTAACCCATCCCACTTATGCCAACGTAGTTTCCAGTTTGAGAAACACTGGTGCATCGCTTCTTTAGGTATCGTCTTGAGCATGGTTTGCGATTTCGCTTTTAACTCATCTATTGCTGAAAAACGTTGTCCTTTGAGTATCCTTTTGAGTTTTGCAAATTGGGAAAAGTCACAGGGGTCATGTCCGGAGAACAGAATGGTTGCGGCATCACAACGGTGGTGTGTTTCGCCAAGACTTATTGGATAAGCAGAGGGTATGTGCCGGTGCGTTGTCGTTGTGGAAAATCCACTAGTTGTCTCTCGTATTCTTGAAGAAAACGGTTAGAAGGACTTTCACATTTGACAAGATCTCGCCTCATCTTCAATAACTTCTTGACCTTCCTGAAAACAGTGCTACCAATATACAAAGAAAGAATCAACTCTATAGACAAGATACAACACGCGCAATTTGAAAATTTCCGTTACTTTTTTATCAAATCTCGTACAATTCGCTTTCGTAGAAGCCTGTGAAATAAAACACACACACTATCTCTTCATTATGACATCCTACTAATGATTACTTAAAATTTTTAATTCATCAAAGTGACAATGAAAAATCTACTATTTTTTTTGAGAATTTGCACTAGATACTGAAAAATACTGAAAGCAAAAGATCCCTCATGTTTTTAATCAAACCGTGCATGCAATAAAGAATGAGTTTTTACACTTTATCTTAAATAATACTTAATAAGTTCTTGATCGATTTTTCTTATTATTAATAATTTCATTTGATGAGAAAAAAAAAGTGCGAAAGAAAGGCGTTATAAGGGCCCTTTTTTGTACGTAAGTTTTAAAAATAGCACAAGCATCTGTAGAGATGTCCTTACATGGTTCACAGAGCGTAAAAAAGCTTTCGTCAAAGAGCCACTTCAAAAGATTTATTGGATTTCAGCAAAATAATATCCAGCAATTATTTTTAGTGGCAAATGATCGTTCGAGCATTTGGTCAAGCGAAAAACAAAAATAACTATGTACAAAGCCGCTCAATATATCAAGAGGCTATAACTCACTATAAAAATGAAAATAAGCACTAGATGGACATGAAGCGGGACTAATAACAAAAAAATAATCATTAGCCTCGTTCGAGAACAAAGACGGGCTAAGCGAAACATTCGAAAAAATACCAACCATTTCTCCGCTACGCTTTTGTTTCTCCAAAGCCCTCTATTATTTTTATCAGAAGTGGGATGTTTGAAAATATGATTTGATTCTGGACGAATTCACCTGGAGTAAAGTATTTTTTGGTACCCGTGACCTGTTCACAATACGTTTGTCGAAATATCCGTCCGCTTTCTGATAACATAATAATATTCCCTTACTTTTTGTGATATATCCACAACTTCAGCGTGGCGCAACATGTTTTCCCGCGTCTTTTTTCGCACGGTCGCTTATCCACATAATATAAACGGTACTATTGTCAATAGTATTCCTAGCTCGGTTTCGATATTTATCACCCGAGGATAAACCGGGTCATTTTTCATTTGGGAGCGAGGCGAGCAATCAAAATGGCTGACGGGACGGTTGAAGGGCGGCCATCTGGCGGTGAAGGGCCGCTAGAGTTAAATAAATGGTTCCCGGCAAATTGAACGATTACCTCTGATAAAAGAGAGGGGAATAACACTGAAGTGCAATTAATTTTTTGCCCCATAGAACAAAAAGAAAGCGATTTTAAATTTACCCGTTCATTTGAATGTGATGGAGAACTGCAACGTACAGATGTTGAGATGCCCTTTAAAATATACAGGATATATTATCAAAAAGTGCAATCCTAGAAGAAAGAAGAGAAAAATGTGTTGTTTTTATGCACAATTAATTTAAGAATTTCGCGGTTTTACACGTTCCTGGTAATAAAAGAATAACATTTAATATTATACTCCAGTGGAATTAGATGCTATTGTGCAAAACCGTACTTATCTTATCAACTTCGACGTCACCTGTTACATAGGTGTTGTATAACAATGAAAAAGTAATATTAACGGTCGATAGAAGGAAGCACAAAAAACAGGCACTTAGGTAGGAAATTCTGGAAGGAAGCCTAAATANGTATGCCTTTTGTTAGCGGTTGTTTTGTATTTATATTTGGGTGGTAAGAGCAACGATCGTGGGTTTCTCTGCCATGCTCTTTCCCCGCAGGAGCTCTAGGTGAGCCTGGCACTCTCATTTTATGTTGAATGGTTGTTAACGTTTTTGTTGTTCTTTATATTTGTCACATGTTTAATTTGAAGATTGTTGTATGTAAATAAAAGTTAGGTGTATTTACCCTGCTTTTGTTTTTGTATAATTAAACCATACATCCCCTCCACAAAGTTAGTAGCCAGCGCCTTCCGGTCATTAAAAAAATAATAAATACACACAACGTAGGTAGTCCTTATGACGATCACACATATTTTTGGCCACAACTACGTTTACTTATTTTTTGTCGAACCTAGGGTTGTTTTACTACACTATAACCTGAAAATAAAAGAGAACATGGGAGAAATATAATTTATAGGTAGAAATACGTACAGTGCATTAATTTGTTATAGAGATAGTTAATGAAACCTTTTTAATACAAGAAAAATAAAAAAATATATAAATATCTGTGGGTACACATGTTCGCAGGTGACCCATTTTTAAGCATTACGTCAAGAGCGCCAGCGTTCCAGGAAGGGTCTACGGCGGACGGCTAACTCATATACCTACGACCGACTCCACACACAGGGACTCTCCAACGAACACTCACCCCGTCAACACGTCTTTTTGTGTACAACTTAGTTTTCAATAAAATACTTTAATATTACTGTTGAGAGAACGTTTTATTCGTGCTGTACAGCGAAAGCAACCCTCAAGTGTCTTCATGGTTGTCAAAAATAAGCTTTCTGTGTATACTCATCATGGCTAGGTCATTGAGACGATTTTGTACCATAGTATATTTCTCAGCCAGGTTTTTATTCTTCTGTTCTTCTATTTTTCATTCCCCCTATATAAATAGGTACGTTACATATATAGCTTTTGTTACACTGTAAACTTTTATTCTGATTCCGATAGATAAAAATTTATTTTTTTTTAATTTAGAATTCCAGAGCTAAATTTTTAAAATATGGAAAAGTACTACTTTTTAACATAAAATTTTATATTTTTAAATTCTTTTGTAAACAAATATTTATACTAANTTTTATAGTTATAACTTCCTCCAATAGATATTTTGAAAACGTTCAGAGCCGTACTCAGGAAAAATTTTAAATGATAACTGAAAACCTTTTTAAGCGATTACCGAGGCGATTACAATAGTAATATCATCTAATTCAGAATTAAAAATGACTTTAGATTTTGTCATAAAAATAGCAGCGACGTGTTTAAAAAAATTAACCTGATGATGGCCCCTTGAAGACGAAACGTCGGATTGCAAAAATGTTGACGCCATTGGACAGAGCGAAAAAAGTGTCAATGTAAATATGCAATTTACTTTAAAATTCGTTTTCAAATAGCCAGAAAAAAAATTAAACAATTTTGCAAAATTTCGGTTTTTTTCGGATATCTCCGGAATTACCCGGCATTTTAAAACTTTCTAAACGGCATATTGTTAGGTATAAAAAACACTTTTTCTAATTTGAGCCACTTCGTATCTCTTACCGTTTCCTAATGTTATCCCATCCTTTTCTTGGACACACTGTATATCTATGAATTCGTCAAAATTAAAAAAAATAAGTACACTAATCGATCCTACGGAAAAAAAATTATTATTTATTTTATTTATTCACTATTCCACTTATGTTTGTAGTAATACTGTACAAAAGTAAAGTTTTAGGTCAAACAATGAGACAGTTTTTTTGTATTTTTTCCGTACAATTGAATGGTGTAATCAGTTTTTGAAATATTTTTTAATTAACATATTATCAACAATTACTGAAAAATTCATTGTTGCAAGTTATTTTTTATTGTTTTTGCATTTTTGAGCATGTTTTTGAACTGTGATTACAGATTTTTTTATTTCACCAAAAAGTATATGTCAAAAGGAAAAAAATTATCACTTAGAGTCGGGGCCATGTGTTGAGCAGGTATAAAGAGAAAAATCGGTATTTTTAATAACGCGCGAAACCACGAGAAGAGCGTAGAGGTTCCAAAGTAGAATTAAACCAAATTGTTAAATTGATAGTAATTGGAAAAGAAGTAACAGATCAAATAGCTGGTTTTTGGCGGATTTTCCAAGCTATAAATGAGATCGACTAATCTGTCCCATAACGCTACACGGAGTAACTAGAGGCTAGGGTTATTTGTAAGTTTAGTCTCAAAATTATTTATATAAATGTAAGTCCAGTCAATTAGGTAATTATTAACATGGCATAGCTATGCCAAAGCGTCCCGATATCCAGGGTTCCCGCCAGTAAGATAAGAACAGAAACGTCTGGACCCAAGAAACGGGCGTGTCGACGCGAAGTGTCGAATTCAGGAGAGATCTACGAGAAAAAGAAAGTTCTTCCTTAGGTTCCACATTGAGCAGTCGACTTAGTTTTAGAGTCTCGGGTTAATTTAATAATGGATAGTCATTCCAAATTTTGCTATGAATCTCGCATTTCCTGAATCTCGGTACGCTGTCGCGTGTCAATAAATTAATTAATAATGTTGTTCGGGTCGTTGTGTTGTTATTTTGTTTGTATGTTTTGTACTGTTATTAAAACCCTTCCTGGAAGTTTTGGTGTTTCCTTTTGTTTCTCTCAACATTAGTGTCACCCTGTACAGCCAGTCACTGGATTACATTCTACGTAAGCAATGCTTGGTAAGTGCTTGAAATTCATTCTCTGAACATACAACATTTCTAAGTTCCCACGTATTAATTAAAAGGTAATGATAATTATCCCTTTCGAGAATTAAATAGTTAACTCTTTTGAAATCCAGACTCGTTATGATACTGGTCATAACGGTAGATAGATAGTTAATGAAATAACCCCTCAGGTTACACATTACAATCAAAATTTGTGAAAATATTGTCGAAGCATGAATTACCTCTTGTGCAAGCCGTAATAGTTTTCGCCAGGCCATACGAGTGGCAAAGGTTCAACAATAAAAGAGTGTCATTGTTATCACAATTATTGAACTTAGTTACTATGACTAAGCAGTTTCATTAAAATTATATCTGTTGCTTAAGTGATATGAAACATGATAATTAAATATAGAGTTAAACATCATATCTTAAAAAAAGTAGATTATTGCGTATTAGCAAAATTTGGGGACGTAAAGTAATTTAAACTCGTGCTATTCATCGACTTTAACATAAGATCAGTCATTAAAATATTGACAATGTCATTGTGCACTCCAACCGCTTTTCAATGGAAATTTTTTACATCCTATTACACCGCTGTATATAAATAAGGCCCACTATCAGTAAAGTCTTAATTCATTCGAAATGTTCTTCAGATACACAGTTTTAGTTATAAATTTCGCGTCTTTCGCGGTTTGTGCCGACATCTTAGCAATCGTGCCAACTGCGTCATACAGCCATCAAATAGCTTTCTTTGACTTTTGGAAAGAACTTTCTTTAAGAGGCCATAAAGTAACAGTGGTTACAACAGATCCACAGAGTAACGAAAAACTAACAAATCTAACGGAAATCGACGCGAAATGGCTCTACAAATTCTACGCAGACATAAGTACCGTCGCTGAAAAATCACTAACCATGTGGAACTTTCATAAATGGGTACACGATATGTTACTCAACACAAGCCAGGAAATATTGTCTCATCATCAACTTCAAGATTTGATACATAACAAAAAGAGACACTTTGATGTGTTTCTTGTGGAGTGGTTTTATGTTGAGCTTTTAGCATTTTCAGAAATATATAATTGCCCTACAATTTTAATAAGCTCCTTAGAAGTATTCACAAGATTCCACACTGAAATAGGAAATCCTGCGCATCCTGGTTTATATCCTGATTTGGGATCACCGTTCGTCTATCCTCTGAGTTTTAAAGAAAGGGTGACAAGTACGATCTACTACCTATATACAATGTTATTCTACGATTACTTTAGTTTTCCTTTGAAGAACAAATTTATGGCCAAGTTTTTCAACACTACTTCAACAATAAACGAGTTATTGGACAACGTCGACATGCTTTTCCTTAATGTGAATCCAGTTTTGCAACATGTTAGAGCTATTGGTCCCACTACAATCAATATCGGTAGTATGAGAGATAAGTCTGCCAAACCTCTATCTCAGGTACGTATTAACAACGATTTGTTTCGTAATAACTAAATATATTGTGCTTTGTATCCATTATCTTTATAGTGCAATGTTAACAGCTACATTATTTTTTAAAGCGCTTAAATACATCTTATATGAAAAAACTATTATTATTAAATACAGATGCAACATTGTATTGTATTCAGATAAACACGTGGTTGTTAAGATAAATATCTATTTATTGAAGCTAATTAAGCTTTCTCAGAAATTAAAAGTTGTAATTGGCTATGTAACAAAGCAATTACTTTTAGGGTCGGAACAGATCAAGAGTTATTTTAATATCTCAGAAGCCATTTTGTATTAAATTTTTAAGTTTCTAAAGTATAAATAAAATGTTATCATGTTTTTTGTAACCAAAAACATAAAATTAAAATTTTTCGAACAAATATCTGAAGAATATTGAAATTTGTGATTTAATAAAACCATATACCGTATTTAATTTTTGCAAATGCATTAAATATTGCTTTATATGGAATGAACGAATATTGCTTTCTGATCAAAATAAACAGATTTAACTCAACTTACCTCTACCCTTTACTTTGTTTAGAGGGTATTAAAGAAATTAAAAAAAAATCTCAAATAACTGTGAAACGCCTTGTAAAATTTTGTTGAAGGTTGGTGAACTGTTGGTATAGGATTAGTCAGTACAAAATGCAATATTTATCATAAACACAACTACAAAGTAACACAAAATGTGTATAATAAGTACTAAATCTAGTATAAAACTTAAAACTTACATAATACAGTCTAAAATATAATTTAGCAAAACGACAATAAACATAATCGAAGATCCACTAATACATGCTCAAAAACTCATTAATTGAGTAAAAACGGTTTTCAGTTAAATAATATTTTATTTGTTTCTTAAATGTTTTATTACAAGCGATGTTTTTATAACGATCAGGTAATTTATTATATAATAATATTCACATATATTTAGGACTCTCTTCATATTTTGTCAATTTATGTCAATACTTTGTTTACGTTCAAACTCTAATTAATTTAATTAATTCGACTGGAGTATTAGTAAACGTGAAATGATCGTTGTTACTATTAACATTCTTTGACATTGAAGTTACAAAATAGCGTTTGATTAAAGTTTTTAGTAAACGCAATTTAAATTTGGAAAAGAACATGTTTTTCCAAACTAGAACTCAAAATACGCAGGTAAATCAAATATGTATAAACGGGATTTTTGTTCATGGTCGTCTATGTTGGTAGGACTGGGCTCGCGCTTCTAGGATGCTTCGGTGGGGTCATTAGGAGTGGGGAGAGTCAGCCATAGAGCTCCTCCACAACGTCAGGCCCCATATTGCAGCTCTAACGGTCTCAAAACTAGAAATACACTGTCACTTTACGAAACATCTACTGAAGCTAAAACTTGTAGACAGTCCGGTCTACCAAGTATGTGAAATCCCTATGCATATCCTGGGTGAGTGTCGACAAGGAAGGAGTGTCGACAAGAGCTTTGTTAAAACAACAAAACTACTTACTGTATAGAACTAAATAGTGGGACGTACAATAGACCTGATAAGGCCTCGGTGCCATGGAACTTATTAGAACCAACCACTAGGAGAAGAAGAAGCCCGATTTTCATTTGTTTGGGCCTCTTATAGAGGCTCTAGGAGGTCAACGATTTGAAGATGACGAGGACGCAATTGTCTCCTGATGTAACCAGTTTCATTCTTCGATACTGGGAAAATGTATTTCTAAGGCAGCAAACAATGTAGAAAAATAAATTATATTTGCCTTTCATTTTTCAATAAATACTTTTTTAAAAAATAAAATGCCGTTTATATTTGATTTACCCTAATTTACCCTCATAATTCTCATTGCGAATCGCAACTTGGTGTAAAGGTAAATTGCGTTAAAACAACTATTTTAGTGTCCACTACACGCATATACCAATCCAATCATTGTATGTTTTCTAGTTTGTACGAATTATTATAAGTGGGTACAAAATTTCGCCTGTATGTATAAAACCGTTTAGAGAAACTTGCCTGTCAAGACTACAGTAAAAAAGTTTCCTTTTGTTCCATAAGTTTGTGGAAACGTCACAACTTATATAATAGGAGAAATAGCGCGATTACAAAAACATTTCAGCTCCAACTCCCGAAACGATAAAATAAGGAGTTAGATTTAATTAGTTCGGTCCGGGAGTTCGAGGCAAAAGAGTTAAAAAGTTTTTCTACCCTGTCCCCAGCTCGAAAACTTCCACATTTCGCCCAGCTGCCCGTCATTTTAATGACCTGCATGAATGGCTTCCAATTTCTTCAATTTAACTCGGGATTACGACCAGCCAGAGGCGTAACTAGGGACTGGACACCGCTTAGAGGGGGCTCCGCCGAGTATTTCCTTCATTATGTATCCCAGTGTCAAGATAGTAGATAATGGACACTCTCAACAATATTCGTGCGAAGGGTAAGGCGTGAGGCGATTGCTATTCCATAGGCGTATGCGTATCATTTTAGAGGATTCCAAAAATACTACCTATTACCACCTACATACACTTATTCTTGGGAGAGGACACGGTCTATTTACATGTTCTAACAAGTAAGGCGACACAAACTCGGTAAAACTACTGAAACCACAAATATGGTAGAACACTAGAAATTGTTGTGGTATAGCAAGATCGAACTTATCCAATCAGCAAGATAGTTCGCGCTGTTGTGGAACTAAAAGATTGGGTATTGGTTTGTTGAACGACAGGGCCACGCATTGGGCGCCACGTCGTAGAATAACTAGTTTACAGCTAGCTATGCATCTTATTATCCTTCAGCTCGTTGTTGTCGGCTTCAGAATAATGATCCACGTTCTAATTTATGTCTAGAGACGGAGACTTAGGCACTTTACTTGTTTTTTTTTGTTCAATGAAATATTGATTTTTTAAAGTGTTTCTACTGACCCTGTATAGTTTTTACACTGATTTTAAGGAGCACTTTAGTTTCTAATAGTTATTTGAGGTCTCCGCTTATAAGCTTTGGAAGCTTTTCAACTGCGTTTCGTAGGTGGGCTAGTGTATGGCTGCTTTAGAGCTGCGTATCCTTTGAGGGTCTAATATAATTGAAATATGAAATTTTGCTTTATTGTTGACTTTTGAACATGTTACAATATGTTTGACAATAGATATTGGTTATAAACATTTCCATACATAGTACCTACGGTTGTAAAAAAATTGATCATGCTGCTAGCACTGGCCAGATATTCATTTCTGGTTATATATCTGCCAATTCTCAGGGTCAATGTTCGATCGCACCCACTGCTACTTCTACGTACATATCTCTTGTGGGCTCCCGTCTGTTGCGGCTTCCTTGATCCTGGCTGGAAATTGCGATATTTATTTCTACGGTTCTAGATTAGTTTACTATATTAATGCTCTACTGGATATTATCTTCCTTTAGGTCCGAATTTCGTTGTATTTGAACAACTTTTTGTCTTCGAAATCAGGACGTAAATTGGCTCTGCGGCCCTCAGATCGTGAGGTTGGGGGCGACATCGGGAAATCTGGAAAGATCGGTGAAAACGTCCAATTCTCGCGCCGCATCGCACACTGGTGTCTTCTGTAGTCCCAAAAAAAAAACGCCTAGAGCCTATAAAAATTGTCCAAAATATAGTTATAAAAAATAGTCAAATTTACACTTAGCGTTTTGAAACTAATTTAAATTCACATAGTCTAATCCGACCTAACCTAACATAACCTAAAAACAAGTTATAAAGTATTATCGTTTTAACATTTAATAATATATGTTGATACACTGTAAAAAAAATCGGTGCGAGTGAAAGCAATTATATCGCAGTGAACGCATTGAGTGAAATTATTGAGTACATTTTCACTCAATATTGGGCATTTTGATCATTTTACTCATTTGTGATTATATTTAAACTAAAACTAATTGTAAATACTTTCACTCAAATATCGGTACTCCTTAAATACATTCTTCACGTAAACTCGTATTTGGTGTACTTGTACCTAAATCAGAGTAAATGTCCTCATTACTGAGTGAGTTTAAATGTATATTAATTTCGAGCAATTTGAATGGCGCCGTGAATATGGCACCACTTACATTTTGCTTCTGTAATCTCGATCACAGTTGATAGGGGCCCGTTAGATTCTCCAGAAAAGCGTGATCGCCAGGAGAACAGGCCTCAGCCGGCGGCGGTGGGTCTCAGCTGGCAGGTCTCAGTCAGGACAGAAGGAGGCCCCGCGAAGTGAATTCATTTCAACACTGTATATCCTAATTAATCATTTATGAGTGATTTATTGTTGCACTCTAGTTAATTAAAAACCAAGTCTGAGTAAAAAATGACTCAATAATAGTTAAATTTAAATTAGAGAAAAAGTTAACTCTAAATTGGTTTTATGTGTATACTCAGAATAGAGCCAAAAGTTGCTCAATTGATAGTTAGCAGTAACTCGGATTTGAGTAAAACTCACTCGTTTCTGATGCAATAGTTTCACTCAGTTGTACATACTATTAGAGTGAAAATTTCACTCAATTGGGTGTGGACAGAAATTGATACATTATTGAGTGAAATTTGAGTGAATTTTTTTACAGGGTAGGTAAATAAAAGTAAATTTATTAATAGTTTATTATCGGAAAAAGTACGTGAATTTTATTTCAAGATGTCCAAATCTAACATAACCTAACTTAAAAAGGTAAAATAGTTTCTTAGCCTCAAATACGAGTAAAATACCAGCAATTAGTAAAAAACCAAAAACCAAAAATAAACATATTTGATGATTTACTTCCATGAAAAGATTAATTCTAAATTTTTAAGCTGAACATTAATAAAAAAATCTAACAGCTAACATCATCCAAATTTATCAGTTATTAGCATTTTTTTTTTATTAAAGTATTTTAATTATTTAAGTTTCAACCATTAAAAACAAAGGTTAAGGGCCCCATATTCTTTAAATAGTGTTTTCCGCAAAGACAATTAATTTCAAACATTTAATAACTGAATAATCTAAAGCT